TGGAGATAAGTCAGGGCTGTCTCCGAGACCGGATCAATACTAGCAAGTATGGGGATCCCCTCCAGCTCCTGGTAGAGTAAGTCCAAGAAAAGGTCACAGAGTTCTTCGCACGGTCTCCCCCACCTGCTCACTTTTCTCTCCATAAAGTAGGCTACGGGTGTTTTCGGCAGCTGAGCTCATAATCTGTCTTTGAGTCTCCTCTCCTTTCTCTTGTTGATGAAAAACAAAACAGACTCACTGGGCACCAACATCCTTGCGGGACCATCTGGAATTTTACTAGCAGACACTCCCAGATTCTGCAGATTTGGGTGAAGAAGGTGCTGAGAGAAGCACATGGTCCTCCTCTCACCCTACTTTTGTTTGTTTGTTTATTTTTTTCCCCGTTCTCAAGGGTTAGTAGCGCTTTGCAGAAACGGGAACAAGGACCAGGGTTGGCAGAGGTAAGAGTTGCGTCTCAGGCACCCAAATAAGGCCTAGGCTGTGATAATTACTTCTCTGGGTTGATGGAAAGGACACTGAGTAATAAATGGTGGGAGTGTTAAAGAAAGCGCCTTTAGAACTTCCCAACTCATGGAAATTCAGAAAATGCCATGCAGAAATGTACGTTTTTCCAGCTTGTGAGTCTGAAACAATGGGATTGTTGGAAGAACTTTTGCAACTTCTTCTCTCTCTCTCTCTCTTTCTCTCTCTCTCTCTCTCTCTCTTTCTCTCTTTTTCAAAGCATTATTGTGTTCAGTGGGGACATGTGCTTTGCCCATAAAAATCTGTGTCTTAATCACATATCTGGGGGGGAGGGGAGGGCGGGTTATTACCCACAGACCGTAATGCCAGAAGTTTATCTCTCAGCAGGCGCTGAGAACATTTCTTAGAGAAAAGGGGACATTTCTGAAGCAGAAAACACAATGTGTGCAAACAAAACATCTCTGTCTTGCCATGCATCTATATCTAGCAGACTATAATTTCTTGCTCTCTCTTTCTTGGTATTGGCGGTGTCAGGAATCAAGCCAGGGCCTCACACACACATCACAGGTGCCATATACCACTGGACCATGTCCCCATCCCTCCTACCCTCCCTCCCTGGCCCCGCTTATTTCCTTACTGTTAGATTTTCATCTCAGTCTTCCAAGGGTAACTTTCCCCCTTTTTGTCCTGCAGTAGCCTGCTGGCTGACCTTTCACTCTTGACTGCTAATCTTCAGGAATGAGTTACCTTTCAAGAGCACAGCAAGATCATTCAAATGCTCTAGTCCCTTTTTTTTTTTCCTACCCCAAGATATCTTCTCCCAGGAGCTTTATAAAAAGCACCTAACAGGAAAGAAAAAAACAAAAAAAGATAACATCAGGGGTGGGGTGTGGATCACCCTTCTCAAGAAGAAAGTTCTGTGAGTGTCTGAAAATTTTTGCTGTGTTTTGCCCATGTAGGAACAATTGTGATCTTTTAATTTTTGTTGTGTGTTGTAATTCCGTGGGTAAAAATGGGAGGAGGCGGGCCAGAGGGGAGGCTGGGTAGGAGGCCAGCTAGAGAATTAGAAATCTCTTTCTTTGAGGGTGCCCCCTGCACCCCCTCCTGCTGACTGCTGGATCGTGGGAGCCAGCCATATCACTTCCTGTCCAAGTTGGCACCGCCAGTGGCTCAGTATTTCTACCCAGTCTCCTCAAACTGTGCTTGGCAAGTGTCCCGCAAAAGAGTCGCCTGAAGAAACAGCCCAGCCTCCTTTCTTGCTTTCTGGCACCTTCCACAGCGTCCCCTGGCCTCGGGTCATCTGTCCCTGGCCTTTTGGAATGGCCTCGTTGAATCCCCAAAGCTTGCTTTTTTTTTTTTTTGGACTTTTTGGACTTTGACCCGGCAATGCTCAGAGAGAGGTTCCTCCTGGCTCTGCACTCAGGAATCACTGCGGGCGGTGTTCGGGGAACCGTATGGGATGCTGGGAATCGAACCTGGGTTGGCCGCGTGCAAGGCAAACGCCGTACCTGCTGTGCTATCGCTCCAGCCCCCAAAGCTTGCTTTTGACTTCTGTAACGTGGCCTCCTGTCGCCTTCTTTCTTTCCTAGGGGGCACTCGTCACTGGCTTTCCTGGGGGAGAAAGGTAGAAACGTTCCTGTCCGGGTATTTTTTCTCATTAGACCAGGTCAGAGAAAGAGCTGGTCTGGTTTTGGAAAGGGAAGTGGGGATTCCTCCAAGTAGCAGTCAGGGGTCCTGGGGCTGCTGCCAGCAGTACTTGACCAACCAGGTGGTTCAACACAAGGGCTCGAGGATGTGGTGCTGCCCGGGTCCTGTGGTGCCTGAGATATCTGGGCCAGCCCAGGGTACTGGGGGGGGGGGGGGGTGTGTCTCAGGGCCACCCGTGGCAATGGCCCGCGGCCTCTAGACCTGCAGCTGGCAATGCTCAGGAGGCCTTGTGGTGCCGGGATCAAGCCCAGGCTGGGCGCGTGCTAGACTCACGCCGAAACTGCAGTGTCCTGGCCCCCAGCCCCAGAGCTGACAGCCCAAAGCAGACGAACAAACCCAAACAACTGGACAGAAACTTTCGGCACCTTGATTCACAGTATCATCAAGAGTAATGTTTCCGCACACCGTGCTGCTACCCCACGCCCAGCACACAGGGTGCCAGTGTCCCTGTACCTCTGTCTCCAGGTCCCTCTCATCACGCCCCTACCTCCACCCTGCCGCTCAGCAGACTCAGTCCTGCAGTCCAGCTCTCTTGGTGTTACAGGCCATTGTTGATGCCCTTCCTGTGTGTCTTTAGACCCCGCCTCTGAGAGGGGTCAGTGGGTATTTGTGAGTCCCTGACTCACTGCGCTCAGCATAATCCCCTCCGGGGTCCCTCCGCAGCAGAGCGATCTGCAGGATTTCATGTTATCGCACGATTGAGTATTCCCTCGTGTGTACTCCATTGTGTGCTCACTCTGCGCTTTCTCTGTCCACTCCTCTGTTCTTGGGCACTTGTGTTTCCAGATCTTGGCTCAGGTGACTAGTGCTGCAGTGAACAGAGGCATGCAGATACTTCTGCAGTGAACAGAAGCAGGCAGGTACTTCTGCAGTGAACAGAGGCAGGCAGATACTTCTGCAGTCAACAGAGGCAGGCAGATACTTCTGCAGTGCACAGAGGCACGCAGATACTTCTGCAGTGAACAGAGGCAGGCAGATACTTTTGCAGTGAACAGAGGCACGCAGATACTTCTGCAGTGAACAGAGGCAGGCAGATACTTTTGCAGTGAACAGAGGCACGCAGATACTTCTGCAGTGAACAGAGCCATGCAGATACTTCTGCAGTGAACAGAAGCATGCAAATACTTCTCCAGTAAACTTTTTTTTGGGGGGGGGGCGACGAAGCCGGCAGTTCTGAACGGCTGCTTTGTGCCCGGCTCTGAGCCGAGGCTTGCTGGGGGCATCCCTTCATGTGCTGTCCCCCAGCCGAGGAGCCAGGCATTGTGCTCATCTCTGCCTACAGTTCGAAGAGGCAGTGCGGCCCGGTCGTCTGCCTCCCCATAACAGAGAAACGGCAGGAAAGCTTCTGGGTACTGCACAATCACCTTGATTTGTGAGGGGCCTTCTTCCAAGTTGCGGGTTTATTTATTAGAACTCAGTGGATAGTGTATGGTAGAAAGGGGGTATTCTGTGGTTTCTCTGTCTTTTTTGGGGTGGGTGGCTGGGACTGGGCCACACCTTGCAGTGCTCAAGACTGCTCAGGAGTGCTCAGGACTGACTCCTGGCATTGCATTGAGAGATCATTCCTTGTGGGGTGCCAGGGATAGAACTCAGGTTGGCCGCTGGCAAGGCAAGCTCCCTCAGCACTGTGCTAGAGCTCGGGTCTGGTTTCTTTCAACTTCAGTATCTTTTAAGGAGAGTTATGTTTTATCTCTCATGCTCTTCTCTGAGTCCTCCCCAACAGCTTTTAATGCCCATACTTTTTGAACATGTCTGTTCAAAATAAGCTGGACTTTTCCCACCATTCTCCTTTAAATTCACCTTAAAATTTCAGCATGCACCGTCTGCTGTACTCCAAAACTGCACCCACACTGCTTGCTTTTTTTTTTTTTTTTTTTTTTGCTTTTTGGGGTCACACCCGGTGATGCTCAGGGGTTACTCCTGGCCCATGCACTCAGGAATCGCTCCTGGCGGTGCTCAGGGGACCATATGGGATGCTGGGAATCGAACCTGTGTTGGCCATGTTGGCCGTGTGCAAGGCAAACTCCCTACCCGCTGTGCTATCGCTCCAGCCCCACTGCTTGCTCTTTGTTACGGAGACATTTCACTTCCAGGGGCCAAAATCTGTTTTAGTTCCCTAAGCCTTCTATATCCAAACCCACAAATTTCATGCTTAAAACAACATAGATATGTTGTCTTCCAGTCCTGAAGGTCAGGAAATCTGCAGAAATCTTAGTAGAATCAAATCTAAGAGCTCAGCAGGGCTGGTTCAAGGAGACAATTCAACTTCATGTGCCTGGTTTCCGGAGGGCCTGGTGTTCCTTGATTTAAGACCTCCTGTTCTTTCTTTGCTGGCAATCCTTACGTGGTTTCCACTCACAGCTCCTTTCTGAAAGGAGAAATTTCTGCGACCTGGGTATATAGGTGAATTAAAAAAAAATCAAATATTTACTGATAATAACCCTTTAAGGAGATTTATTTCTAAGCAAATTTTTAAGATTTGTCATAATTCCTAGGGCTGGAGCTATAGCACAGCGGGTAGGGTGTTTGCCTTGCACGCGGCCAACCCGGACGGCCCAGGTTCAATTCCTCCGCCCCTCTCGGAGAGCCTCGCAAGCTACTGAGAGTATCTCGCCCGCACGGCAAAGCCTGGCAAGCTACCTGTGACGTATTCGATATGCCAAACACAGTAACCACAAGTCTCACAATGGAGACGTTACTGTGCCCCCTTGAGCAAATCGATGAACAACGGGAGGACAGTGCTACAGTCATATGCAGTAACACGACCCCATGTGGGGTCATGACCCACAGTCTAAGAAACCTTAATGATCTGAGTTCCTTTCATGCTTCAGATTTCACCTGTGGCTTCTCCTGCTGTCCAGTCTCTCTGCCATCCTGGCCCTTTGCTTCTGACGACTCATGAGAACAGTGGTCCAGCCCCGATGACTCAGGTAAATGAACTTCCACACTCAGAAGACCTTAACTTCAAGTCTTCTTTTGCCATATAACATAACCTTGTGATGGGTTTGGGAATCGTGTGTGTGTGTGTGTGTGTGTGTGTGTGTATGTGTGTGTGTGTGTGTGTGTGTGTGTCTCAAAGGGGGTGTCATAATTCCCCCATTCGAGGTCAGGTGTAAATAGAGAGCAATTCGCCCTCTGGTCTTAGTTGTCCAGTGTACCTCTATAGGCCACACACGTGATGTCTAAGAGAACAAACATTTGATTCAGGACTCATTCCTCCCATCTGGCATGCAGCCTCCTCCAAACTGGCCAAACCAGTGATAAGCAAGAGCTGTTGGAAGCCTGGGGACGGCAAGAGCATCGCTGGGATTGTGACTCTCCTCCTCATGGAGAGAGTCAGAACTGACGTAAAAACCAAGCAGTGAAACGCTGCTGTCGTTCCTGCAATACCAGTGCTAGCCCATGAAATGGACACCCGCCTAAAAATCTCTTTCTCCTCTGAAGACAAAACTAAGATGCAATGCCAGTGGAACCTCTTATTATTATTATTATTTTTTTAACATGGGAAAATTGGACTGATCCACAATACTTGGTGTGTTATCCAGTAGGGTACCCTCGGCGGGGGGCGGGGGGGGGGAGGGCTGGGGAGCCCCCTCTCCGCTTGCCACCTGGAATCTGATGCTAGTTCCGCTCTGACAGCTGGTTAGCCTGGCGGGCTCTCACAAGTTAAATCTTGTCTCAGGAAATAATTTGCTGGAAGATCAAAGAATGGTTGGGATAAATTAATTTTTCAACAGATCCACAGGTCTGGGGGAATGTAAACACTGTCTTTTTGATAGTGCTAATGGCCTTTGGAAAAATGGGGCGGGGGAGGGGCAGGCTCTTTATTTTCTTGTATGGTTTTAATTCCGCATATAATTGTCCGTGCCTTAATAAGGTAAAGCAGAACTCTGGACGCGTGCACTGAAGGATCTGAAATGCCTAGATAGGCCATGTATTACAGCACCATTCTTACAAGACTAGCGATTCTCGGATGGGGGAATTAAGAGGAGTTCCACCCAGAAGCATCTGGCAGTGTGTGAAACATTCTTGATCCTCGTGATTCAGAAGAAAGTTGCTACCGGCATCTAGTGGCTTGAGGTCAGGGTGCTGCTGAAGATCCTATGATGTAGAGAACCGCCCTCCTCCAGGCGTTTACCCAGCCCACTCAGTGGTCCAACTGCAGCTGAAAAATCTCCTTAAGGACTTTGTTTTTCTACTCTTCTGACTTAGATGTGATTTTTTTGTTGTTGTTATTTCTTTTTTTTTTTCTTTTTGGGTCACACCCAGTGATGCACAGGGCTTCCTCCTGGCTCGTGCGCTCAGGAATTCCTCCTGGGGGTGCTCAGGGGACCATATGGGATGCTGGGAATCGACCCCGGGGCGGCTGCATGCCAATCAGATTACCTACTCACTGTGCTATTGCTCCTTTTGTTGTTATTTTGGTTTGCTTGGTTTTTGAGCCTCACCCAGTAGTGCTCAGGGCTTACTCCTGGCACTGCACCCAGGGATCACTCCTGGCTGGGCTAGGGGAACCACATGGGGTGCTGGGATCGAACTCGGGTCAGCGGTGTGCAAGATGAGTGGCCTCTTATCTCCAGTCCTTGGATGCGTTCTTGCTGTAGTAGATACAGTTTCTTCTCCTGCTGTAGTAGATACTGTTTCTTCTCCTTGTTCTTGCTGTGGTAGATACAGTTTCTTCTTCTGCTGTAGTAGATACTGTTTCTTCTCCTTGTTCTTGCTGTAGTAGATACAGTTTCTTCTTCTGCTGTAGTAGATACTGTTTCTTCTCCTTGTTCTTGCTGTAGTAGATACAGTTTCTTCTTCTGCTGTAGTAGATACTGTTTCTTCTCCTTGTTCTTGCTGTAGTAGATACAGTTTCTTCTCTGCATGTAGATTTGATTTCTTGGAAGATCCCTTCCTTTTCCTTCTCACTTGGCACAGCATAGCATCTCCTCCCAAGTAGTCTCTCATGTATCTTGTGAGTTTGGTTGTCCGGAGGAGGAGCACTGACCCGCAGGCAGCAGCCCGGAGGTAGGGTGGGAGTGATGGGGAGAGGAGAGAACCCAGGCTCCCATCCCCCCACCTCTCCCTCTCAGCTCTCTAGAATGGATGTCACAGTTGCAGCCGAGGGGGTTGAAAAGGGAAAGCTCTTTGACCTAGGATAAGTGCTCAGGAAAGGTGTTTTCTCAGGCAATTAGGTGGGAAATTGTGTGCAGTGTGCAGGGACGCCCAGGGTTGCCTCCCACCCCCATCCATGGAAAACTGCTGTAAAAGGAGAGACAGACACGGAGCAGACTGGGGCTGTCAGTGTCCAGGAAGACCTTCAGTTCCTCAGTAGCAGCGGCTCTGTGATTGACAAGCGATCCAAGGTACCTCGAAAGCCTCGGGCCAGGGCTATTTTTAAAACCAAATTGACAGCAAATAACTCCAGATGGAACATTCCTGACTTAATTATAGAGACCCGTGGTGGTCCCTGCCAGCAGGTGGGTTTCTGTCGTTGGGTCCTGCGTTCTTCCATGCTCCGTTGCTTGTTTGAGAGTCAGTGTGGAACCCAGGGCTAGGAGACTGACTTGATGGATGAGTCTGTCTGAATTGGGCGGCCTCAGTTTGCCTCTATGTAAAGTGGGCACAGCCTTTCCCTCAGCGTCCTTGGGTCCCAGAGAGGGTGCCCCTGCTGAGATAGTGGGCATCAGAAGTGCTGGTGGAAGTGTTTCCTGTAAAGGCTACTTCCTATTTCCTTCCTCGTTGATTTCTCCCAGTATTTATTTATTTATTTTCTTTCCCTTAAAAAAAAAAATTTTTTTTTTAATGAATCACCGTGAGGTGTAGTTACAGACTTACAAACTTTCGTGATTACGTTTCAGTCATACAATGATCGAGTACCCAATCCCTCCACCAGTGCCCATTCTCCACCACCACTGATCCCAGTATCCCTCCCACCACCCCTCACCCCCCTTCTACCAGTCTTTAAATGTTGGACAGTAGTGCCACAAAAAGTTAACTTTTCACCCCAACTCATGACTAATAATTTTGTGTAGTTGTATCATTTGGGGACTTGTCCCAAGTCTTCATCTCACTGCTGCTGTCTCTTTATGGGGGGTGACTTGGTGGTAGCTCTGTGTGTGTGTGAGGGGGAGGTGTCAGACCTCATCTGATTGGTTGGTTTTTTTTTTTTTTTTTTGCTTTTTTGGGTCATACCTGACAATGCACAGGGGTCACTCCTGGCTCATGCACTCAGGAATTACTCCTGGCGGTGCTCGGGGGACCATATGGGATGCTGGGAATTGAACCCGGGTTGGCTGCGTGCAAGGCAAACGCCCTACCCGCTGTGCTATCACTCCAGCCCCGTGATCTGATTGTTTTTTTATTCTCATGATGCCAAAGTGTTCATAACTGCTGGTGGTGCCAACTGCCAGCAGAAAACTAGTAGGGACAGTTCACAAAATAGTCGCTTAAAAAAAAAAAAGCACGCTAACTCCCCATTGCTTCAACTCAGGCAACTGGATATTTCTCTATTTAACGTCTATGTCTGTCCGTTTGCTCCTGGACACCTGCCCAGAATGGGCTCCCCAGCCCTTTCTACAGAAGGAGGCTCCATTCAGGCTCCTCCATCCTGAGGATTTCGTATTTTGCTTCATCTGACTACCCCTTTGCTAAGGCCTCCTTTGCATTGGTAGTCATGTTGCTTAGTAAGGCCATTCTCCGAAGGACGATATGGAGCCCAACTTCAGACCAGGCTGGAGAGTAACAACCCAGGGAAGAACCAGGGTGCATAAGAACCGGAAGTAGTAAGAACCTGGGAGAAAAAGAGCCTCGAGAAAAGAGCCTGGGAGAGTAAGAATTCTGGAGAGTGAAAACCCTGGAAAGTAAGAACCAGGGAGAGTGAGAAAGTAAGAACCAGGAGAGTAGGAGCCCAAGGGAGTAAGAGACCTGGAGAGGAGGAGTCTGGGAGAATAAGAGCCCAGGGGAGTAAGAGCCCCAGGGAGTAAGAGTCTGGGAGAGTAAGAGCCCGGGGGAGTAAGAGGCCAGGAAAGTAAGAGCCCAGGAGGGTAAGAGCCTGCAGGAGTAGGAGCCCGGGGGAGTAAGAGCCCTGGAGATTAAGAGCCTGGGAGAGTAAGCTTCACAGGAGTTGGGGGTGAGGGGTGCCGAGAGAGGGAGCATGTCAGGTGCTTGTCAAGGAGGGAAGCCACCAGTGTCCTGTCCTGTGGTGGACTCGCTGGACCATTCTAAGGACCCGGTGGCTGCTGGGGCCCACCGGGGTGGGAGGAGGAGTGGAGTGTGGGAGTGTGGCAGACCAGTGCTCCTCCAGCAAGCCCCCTGGAAGCCTTGGTGCAGAGCGCTCTTGCCCTGAGGGAGGGACCTGGGCACACGTCTGCTCTGCTTTGCACCTTCACAGACGCCCTTGAGTAGTGCCCAGTTCGCTCCCCTGAGCTCTGAGGGGTTTAGGGTAGATCAGCACTTCTCAGTCTGGGACAGTTTTGCTCCCTGGGGGGTTGACATTGGCCTGAGTGGACATGGTTTTGGACATTGACTAGATAGTGGCGGCCGGTGATGCTGCCCCCCAAATGAACAGAAAGCCCTCCATCAAAAACTCATGCAGTGCAGATTGTCAGCCAGGAGGAGAGGGTGTAGGCTGAGGGAGTCCCTGGAAACCATTTCTTCGGCTCAGGAGTGACAGGCTCCTTGGCTGGTTGGTGGCAGTTTCCCTGTGACCTCCCACCCTTCTGTTGTCGGTAGCCATCGGACTGTGGCTTTTCCACGGTTTGTTTCCTCGCAGTCCTTGCTTCCACCCAGACTGCTAGGCAAGGGATCTCGGGTCCGCATTTCTGTCCCTGGGCGCAGGGCAGGGTGTCTGTGCTTGGATGCCATCGTTCAGGACATTCTCTTTTTTGGCAGCCGAGAGACAGATGTTCCTTTGGCTCATCCACGGGAGCCCATAATTCAGCGT